ATATATGAAGCAAATATATGGATATATAGCAATCGTCAGGCCAGGAATCTCGTGGCCCGACGATTGCGTCTAACATGGACCCCACTAAAACAGCCTGTCGCCTCTAAGTGTTGACTTCAGTGTTCACTTATATATATATATATATATATATATATATGATTTAATATATATATATATATATATATATATATATATATATATATATATATATATCAATGTAAATCTTATATTTTGACATGATTTGCCGATAAATCGACGTTATTAAATAATTTTATTTTAAGCGAATCTTCATTAGCGATGGATTCCTATCAAGTAGATTTGCTCAAACCACATTATTATTATTATTATTATTATTATCATCATTCGATTTCTGCTATGGACACACTACCTACCAAGTCTGCGGAAAGACCTAAGGCAGGTCGTGGTGTGTTGTTATGGCCACATTTCATGTTAATTTTTTTTTTTTTTTTTATCTCCGATGAAGTTGCTAGCGTTACATAGACAAAGTTCTCCTTAGTGTGTGTGCTGTACTTAATAAGACAATTTTCTGTATGTCTCTTAAGCTGGGGTTTCAGGGATTCTTTCAATGTGTTGTTTTTGTTCCATTTTTTATAATTCCAAGTGCACCTATTACCACTGGTATTATTCTTGTTTTCAATTTCCACATTTTCTATTTCAATTTCCAGGTCTTTGTATTTTGATAGTTTTTCAAATTCCTTGGTTGCTATGTTACAATCCGCTGGACAAGCCATATCAATTAGTAGGCAAGACATTTTTTTCTTTCTGGTTTTTGACAATAATGTCCGGCCTATTTGCTTCAATTTTTCTGTCTGTGTGGATGGTATAATCCCATAGAATGGTGACATCTTCTATTTCTGTAACCGGCGCTGGCCGATGTTCATACCAGTGTTTGCTTACACATTTTCCAAAGTGTTTGCACATTATTATTATTATTATTATTATTATTATTATTATTATTATTATTATAATTATTATTATTATTATTTTATTTTCTTTGATTTCTGGTGGGTATTCATTTCTTTCCCGGTCTCAACCAGGGACTTAAGTTCCCAGATGGCATCATGACATTTCCCACTGAGCATTTTTGGAGAAAAAAAAACAAAAAATATAAAGCCTATGATCACATATTTTATATAGATAAAGCCCTTCATAAGGTGTTGTCTATACTTGTGAGTATAATATTTTGCATTACTTCAAGGCATGGCCTACCGGAATCCTTTCAATGAGTTTATAGTACCCTTTTCCATTCAATCCGAGGTCTCCAACTGCAACTACTCCTGGAATTATTAAGACAATAATCATTAAGAACACTCCCTCAGTGATTTCGAAATGAAAACTGTACAGACACGAGGAAAACCTAATAAAATAAAATAAAAACTTAAAAGATTTTCCTCGTTTGTCATATTCAATGAACCATGTTTAAAAGAAGGTTTGCTACCGACATACACAATATTCAAATATAACATCTGTCTTGTTTCTTTTCCTCGGAGTAAAATATCAGAACAGATAGTGAATATGAAGTGGCTTACTGATTAAATTACTGAAAGTTAAAAAGAGAAACAATTACACACCAACTCACCTATGACTTTGATTAAAAAAACATTCGGTTTTTATTTAATTGACAATATGTTTGGTCAATCAGTTAATACGTAAGTAATTAAATGTTCAAATCCAAAACAAATATATTTTCATGAGAAGATTACTTAGCTGTTTATTTTATTATTAGTTGTGCCTCAGTTAATCCAACTTTGATACCTTTCTTTCTTTCTTTCTTTCTTTCTTTTTATCATTTTATTTCTTTGTCATTTTTGTTTTCTTTCTTTCTTTTTATCATTTTATTTCTTTGTCATTTTTGTTTTCTTTCTTTCTTTCTTTTTATCATTTTATTTCTTTGTCATTTTTGTTTTCTTTCTTTCTTTCTTTCTTTTTATCATTTTATTTCTTTGTCATTTTTTCTTTCTTTCTTTCTTTCTTTCTTTCTTTTTATCATTTTATTTCTTTGTCATTTTTGTTTTCTTTCTTTCTTTCTTTCTTCCTTTCTTTCTTTCTTTCTTGTATCACTTTCTTACATTTTCATTTTCTCTCTTTTTCATTTTTATGTTCTTTCATTTTTCTTTCGTTTTTCTTTTTTTATAACTTTCTCTTTCATTTTTCTTTCTTTTATAATTTTCTCTTATAAATTTCTTTCTTTCTTTTTTATTTTATTTGCATTATTTCTTCCTTGTTTCAAATTTTCTTGTTCATTTTTATTTTCTTCTTTTTTTCTTTCTTTCTTTTATCAATTTTTTTCATTTTTAATTTCATTCTTTCATCTTTGTATAACTTTCTTTGTATCTCATTTTTATTTTTTCTTTCTTTCTTTTATATTTTTATTTAATTTTTATTTTCATTCTTTCTTCCTTATCAATTTCTTTCTTTTTCATTTTTATTTTCTTCTTTCTTTCTTTTATTCACTTTCTTTTTCATTTTTATGTTCTTTTTTCTTTTATCACTTTCTTTTTATTTTTATTTTCTTTCTTTTTACTAGTTACTTTACTGTTTAGCCCTTTCTTTCTTTCTTTCTTTCGTTCTTTCTTTCGTTCTTTCTTTCGTTCGTTCTTTCTTTCTTTCTTTCTTTTGTCGTTCTTTATTTCTTTATTTATTTTTAATATTTACTTCCTTATATTTTTTTCTTTTTCATTTTTCTGTTTTCTTTTTTTTCTGTCCTTATCACCACCATTTTTTTCTTTTCAGATTTAATCTCATTTTTTACTGTTTCCTACTTCCATTTATTCTTAGCTTCCTCCCTTATAATTTTTTCGGAATTTATTAATTACCAAGAGAATTTCTTTGTCCTTCTTTATTTTCTTCTTGCCATTCTTTTCAACCATTTCTTGTTCATAATTTATTTTCCCGTTTTCTCTTTGTCTTTTTTTTATTTCTCATATATTTTCCCCTCTTCAATTTAAATCATTTCTCATTGAAATGTTTCTTTCTTTAAGTTTCGTTTTTTCTTTTCTTGTTTATTTTCGAAACTTAAGCGAGGTCAAGTCCGAATTCAAAGAACAAAAATGTCCGACTTTTATAACTAACTTCGTCTGCAAACTAAGAAAAACACAATTCGTTTATTGTTCCAACTGTTGAACAACGAATAGTTCTTATAAAATAATATTAATAATAAAGAAACAATTATCTCAATGTCTCCATGTCAGCTTATTTCCTTACAACAGAAGCAGTATTCACATGTCATCCGGCCGACACATTACTTGTCATCATCATCATCATCATCATCATCATCATCATCATCATCATCGCCCAGATCATAATTAAGACAATTATTACTATCGGATCAATTTAACATCAGCATTTAACAAAGAACAAAAAGAATTTGTGTTGAGAAACGCCACCTCGGCGCTAAGCAGAGAACCAGATCAGCTGATAAAGAAAGGGGAAATAATACGCATTTACATAAACACATACTTAAATAAAGAATTTCTTCATAAATACACATACACATATATATATATATATATATATATATATATATATATATATATATATGAAAATAATATAGTTTTATGGCATGCTATACTTACGGGTTAAAGTGCTCAATATCAGGGATACAGTGTATGTAAATATAATAGCAGACACTGAAAACAGCACCCAGAGGCGACAGTTTGTTTCATGCCTAACGCAATCGTCAGGCCATGTGCATTTTGTTTTTGCTAATATATATATATATATATATAATTATTTATTCGAAAATTATAACATAAATATGTTATAAAATCACTACAAAAATAGCCATTTTGTTTCAACACCTCTGGTGTCTTATAAAGTGATGACTTTAAAGGTTATTATAGTAGCCGCTATAATAACGATTGAATTAATAATAATGTCAGATTAAAAATAAATATATTATTTGTTTGTAGTTTGAAGAAATTAAAACAATATATATATATATATATATATATATATATATATATATATATATATATATATGTGTGTGTGTGTGTGTGTGTGTCATTTAAAAAATCTAACAGAAAGTGTCAATATTTTTTTGAAACACGTTTCGTCTTTTAGGATAGGTGATTTTTACATATGCGCATGAAGGAGAGGCGTGTTGAATATTTAATAATAAAAGTGAAAAAGTATAAAGAAACTGAATGAAATTGGTTTGACTACTAGAGATAAATTTTTAAAAAAAGTGAATATAAAGTTTGGAATTTAGGCTTTTCCAACATTTTCAGCTTTGCATACTTGAGTATAAATATAACTAACGTTTGCATTCTTATATCTGCCACATTGATATATATATATATATATATATATATATATATATATATATATATATATTTGGTTGGATATATATATATATACAATCAGAATTTATAATTTAAAGTTCTTTTAAATTTATTTTTAAAACAGTGCTCGATACTCAGTAGGACGTAATATTTACTTATTTTTTAAAAATATGTATTAATCGCGACACAGAAATTACCATGTTTCGAAACCAAAACCTATACTTTAAATTAAACTTAAAATTTCAAGTTCAGTTCCATTTTCAAGGGATGCTGAACAACTTTTGTGTTCATATAATCGTTTATTTAGTTTCCTTAATGTTTCTCCGGTGTATCTTTTGTGGCAATTATTACAGGTAATAGTGTAAATTCTTCCTTCAAATAAAAAGAAAAACGCTATTCTGATTAAGAGGAAACAATCCACTAAGGCGAAAATGTTGAGACTGTAATTTAATTGATAGAACATCTTCAAATTTATATACTCTGCTTCAGTGGAAGTAACAGAACCTATTTCTTCTTTTATGTGCCGTGTCCCTTCAGAGATCATAGCCCTCCACAACTTCCTACCTGGTGTGGCTCTTATCTTTTTTCTCCCTTTACTAAGCCCTCGCCCACAGTTACGCCATCTATTCAGACACGCTAATTAGATAAGTATTCGCTGTCTTAAGCCGTTTACACCACCCGCACATCCAAGCTTACAGCTGTTATTCCCAAGCAGTCACCCATCTGAGTACTGAACAAGCTCAACGTTGCTTAATTTCGGTGAATTTACGGGGACTGGTGCTTCAGGAAATCAGATAATAATGATAATTTAGTGTATCTAAATCTCCGACAAAAATTAACTGTCGCCCGTTACGATTGCACCTTTATCCCTTGTTTCCTGTTTGAGGTTGGGTTCTCAATTCCTTCAATTCTAACGCCTCAGCTTAAAAGCTGAAATTTTATTCAATAATCATTACTATTTTTCCTCCCCCAATTAGCGTATATAGGTTCGTCTATCGCCCGGTTCACTCCCCTCCCCAATCTTTTGAACAGGGGTAGGGTTTTTACCTTATTTCCTGTTTAGTATTAGGTTCACAGTTCCAGAAAAAAAGTCTGCTTCAACTCTATACTTCTAACGTCTCAGCCTAAACTTTGAAATTTGATTTGCTATTTTTATTTATTTATTTTTCTTCCTTCAACAGGAGTAGATAAGTTCGCCTATCGCCCGGTTCCCACGCCTCCCAATTATTTTTAATAGGAGAAGAGGTTTATTCCTTGTTACTTGTTTAGGATTGGGCTCCCGGTTCTTTCTAAAGTCTACTTCCACACTATACTTTTTACGTCTTCGCCTGAACACTGAAATGTTATTCACTAATTAAAATTTTGACCTCTTCACGTCTAGTATTAGCTGTTATTTAATAAATTTGGCTATATAATCCAGAAAGAGTTATAAGTCATTGAAAAAAGTTCATGAAAGTATATTTCGAAAATAATGTCAAATAATGCATTTTCGTTATCCATATGATGAAGCCACATAGGCGAAAGGCATTATCGGATGTTATTTTCAAAACATATTTCATGAACGTTTTTCCAAATGTCAATAACTTACTAGCTGTTATGTTTCCTACATAACCCCAAGAACTTCACTTTTTGCACAAAGTAATCCTCTACTTTGAGTGGCCCTTGGGGCTTGCATTGGATGATCATTAATAATAATAATAAAAAAGAAATTTCTGGAGGCAGATCACATGTTTCCGAAACGAAAGAAAAGTTATCTATGAAATCATCCATTTTCTGACCCCGGTTGAAATTTAGGTAAATTTACTTTTCATTACGATCAAAGCTGTTTACTTAGAAGCCGTCATTTTATATCCTTCCGTCTGTATTTGCCACGATTATGACAATTTATCATGTTAATATTCAAGCAGAAGTATCAATGTCATCTCTTACTGGGAGACTCTCTCTTCATCATCATCAAATAAGGATACACTGTTGTCAGAGAAACACAAATTTGACTGCTGTACATTCATAATTACGTCAAAAGAAAACCTATTTACTCACCGGCGTTCATTAATTGTCGCCTGTGACTAGCAGCAAATCGATGCAAATCGATGCAAATCGAAGGCCCCTTTATTGTTCCATGTGCATAAAAGTGTGTAATTTGCGTCGTTTTATTAGGTCCGGTGTTTTACGACAGCAACAAAGTGTCAGAGATGAAAGTCAACCACAATTTCCTCTGCTTATTAATAACACTAGAATTAGTTTAAAATCTTACAAACACAGAAAGATGTATTTGGGAAAGATAATATAATAATGACGATTTTATACTAGAACCAAACCGCTTGCATACGGATTGAAGAAGAATACAGTAAATACACAAAATAGAAAAAGACATAAGACAAGGATGTGTCTTCTCTCCAGACTTATTTAAACTTTACAACGAGACGATCCTGAGAAGATTAAAAATCGTCCCAGGATTCGTTACTCGTGGCTACAATATTAACATTAGATAGGCCGATAACACAGTTTCGATAGCAGACGCAAAAAGGAAACTGCGGGAACTCCCAAAGAAGACATTAAAGGAAAGCGAGAAGAAAGGACTAAATATCAATTTTAAAAAGAATGTATGGTTGCCAACAAGACACACAATCCAAGAAACGAAATAGGAATTGTAGACGCCAAGTAAGTATGAACATTTAAATATCCCGGAAGTTTTTTTAACAGAGGACGGAAATGTGACTTCAAAATCCGAATGTTCATTGTAATAGCGAATGACGCCTTCCAAAACCTAAGCAAAGTATTAAGTAACAGGAAATTTTCGTTAGAAACAAATTCAAGAATGCTGAACTTTGGCGTAATATCAGCCTTTCTTTATTGTAGTTGATGCTAGACAATAGCCTCACAGATGAAGACGAGATTTAAGGTAACAGGAATGTGGTTCTGCGTAAGGATGGTGAAGATCCCATGAACCGGACATATGTGTAGTGACGAAAATTTAATTAAAATGGAAAAAAAAAAAAGCCCTTTTACTTTAAAGAGACGCTTGAAATTTTTAGGAATTAATTTTTTGAAATGAGGAAAGAGGGCATATAGAATTTGACACTCACAGGACATATTGAAGACAAGAAGATAGAGGAATACAATGCATAACCAGCCTACTGAGATGGGTATACAGTATAATGAACTCTTCCTTCTCTCATAAATACAAACTGCGAGAGTTGGATACCAGAGAGAGAGAAGTGGAGTGGAGTAGTAGACACAGTGCTAATCTACTTATCACTAACACTATTTTTTTGTATATATCTTCAATATACTTTTTCAACCTACCTTCGTCTTCCTGTCTTTCTTTCTGGCCCTAAACAGGAACACAACAAATATTCACACCTTAGCAAGTTGTCTGTTGGTAAACCAACTTCGTTATTTTTAATTTATATATATATATATATATATATATATATATATATATATATATATATATATATAAAGAACAGTAAGATATATAATCCAGTGTTAATTACAAAATTAAATTGGACTTTCAGCTTCCATTTTGAAACACAGTTAGAAATGTAGCGGAAAAAAACATATTTTAAATCAATTAATTTATAATATATATATATATATATATATATATATATATATATATATATATATCCATTCAATATATATATATATATATATATATATATATATATATATATATATATATATATATATATATATATATTTGGTTGAATAGATGTGAGTTTGTGACCCTGGATTAGCGATCGTCAGACAAACTGATTAATTTTTTAAAAATTTGGGTTTATGTAGATTGCGTGTATTGGTGTTATTGTGGAAGTGGAAAAAAAAACTTCGTCGTTTTGTAACCAGGATTCATAATAAATATAAAGAAAAAATAAACAAATAAATATAGAAAATAAAATAAAATAAAACACCAACAACCACTTTTTAGTCAAACGGATAAAACACAATAATTACATTTATAGATTTTTATTATTCTCCCACCAACATTACTAATCACTACTAACAATTTACAATAAATATTAACCACTTTATATTATTACCACACCAACCCCCCTTACAAAATATTACTATCACACCATATCTACCATTACCATATAATCCTACCATAATTATTAACGTAAACTACCCCCTCTCCCAGCATATTTAATACCATCATAAAAATAACCAATAAGGATTACAAACTGAAATTTTACCAGTCACATATACACAGTCACAAAAACAAGGAAATAACCAGCTTTAATATAATAATAATAATTTTGTAAATTAAAATTAAAATTATAGCAATCTTCAACTACCATAATTTTACACAGAATACCTATTATCAGGATTTATACCAAAATAAATTAATACATATAACAAAATAAATTAAAATAAAATAAAACACCAACAATCACTTTTTTAGTTCACCACTAGCTACCACCACTATAACTACATTCATGGTTTTATTATTCTCCCACCACCGTTACTAATCATTTCTACCAATTTACAATTTCTACCAATTTACAACAACTATTAGCTAATTATATTATCATTGTCTCCAATCCCTTGAAACATTACTATCACATCATATCATATATAAACCCGTTATTAATTGAACTACCCTCTCACCCAGCATATTAAATTATTAAACATCACCATATAAAAATAACCAATAAGGATTACAAAAATTTCTACCTGTATACACAAAAAAACAAACAAATAACCAGCTTTAAATATAATAAAATAAAACCCCATTTAACAAAAAAAAAAAAAAAAAATAAAAATAAATAATAATAATTTTACCTATCATAATTTTACACAAACCCCACCACACATATATACATACATGCGAGGAAATATTATTCAGCGGAAAATAAATAATATGACATGTATACATTCACGAGACATTCACAAGAAATTTTCCGCCACACTTCCAATCTTTAAATTTCAACATACAAATGCGTATGTATAGACACAACACCACCCGTATACATACATATGTCATATCCGAAACTGTCCACATATGTTTATATATGTATGAGTCCCGACGGACGACCAGTGTGTGTGTGTGTGTATATGTGTCGGACATGCATCTATGTTTGCGTTACGATGAATGACAAAACGACGAAATTTCCCCACCACTTCCACAATAACACCAATACACGCAATCTACATAAACCCAAATTTTTAAAAAAAATTAATCAGTTTGTCTGACGATCGCAAAAGCGTGAAACCCAGGGTCACAAACTCACATCTATCCAACCAAAAAAATATATATATATATATATATATATATATATATATATATATATATATATGGTTAGGTAAATAATTATACAAATATATTAGTATTTTATTTATTATTTTTAAAAATAGTGCTCGATACAAAAGTACAGCATAAAATAATTATTTATTTAAAAATATGATTCCAACTCATTGACATAAAGGTCTCATGTGAAAAACAAGAGAAAAGTTTCAATATAATTTATTTGATTTTAAATTGAGTTTCATATTGTCTCTGTTCCATCTTCAATAACATTATTTTTGGCAATAATATATTTATATATATATATATTTATATATATATATGAAATCAAAATTTCCATGGTAATGTGCTAGATATAAATTGTTTAAATGCATCAGTAGTTAATGGTGTTGAATACAGTTAATAGAAAAGTATCAGTATAGAGTTATTTTGAGGATATTTTAAAATAAGATGTTGAAATTTATAATTCTCATTTAACCCTATATAAGCATTAAATGTTTTACGACACAAAGGTTTACAGAGCATGGAAATCAATTAG